GGATTCAAGGCATTTCAAACGAATTATACTTCTGTTGGCGGGAATGTAGCTGGTTTCAAGATAACCCTTCATGATCTATCATTCAGAGCAAGGACTTTTAAACATGTCAGCAGCACACACTGCCAGTGTTTTCTCGAAGTAACAAGAAAGCATGGATGACCCTGTAGTACTGTTTGAGGATTGGTTCATGACTTGTTTCATTCCACGAGCCAAGGGTATTGTCTGCAACAAAGGGATTGCATTCAAGATTTTGTTAATTTTGGATAATGCTCCGGGACACCCAACACACGGACGACATGCACCCTGATGTTAAGGTAGTCTATATTCCCCTAACACTACCTCTGTCATCCAACCCATGGATCAAGGTGCTATTGCAGCTTTAAAAGCTATTATTTACGTCTGACCTTCGCCCGAGGCTGTTTGGTATGCTAATGAAGGTGAGGCAGCTCAGAGAGTTTTGGAAGGACTACAACATTTTGAAATGCATAAAGAACATGGGGTGAGGTTACAGGACAGTGCAGGAATGGAATATGGAAAGTCCTGAAAAGATATGTGAACAGTTTCAGAGTTTAATGAAGATGAAGTAATTTCTGAGATTAGTAACAAGATAGTGGGTTGGGTAAACAGCTTGAGTTAGAAATTGATAATGAAGATGTTGAGCAGTTGGTTGAAGTAGCAGAAGAGCTGGTAGGGATCTTATTGAAATGGATGCACGAAAATTGCAGAGGAAGGAGAGAGTCTAAATGTAGAAGAAAAGACCTGCACCCCTCAAAATTTTTCAGTGAAGCAAATGTAAAGGCATTTGCTACAATTAATAAGAGGGATGCAAATGTTTGTGGAATGGATCAAAATGTTGAGCGTTTTGCCAAGTTGACAGAATGGTCCAAGATGCACTTGCTTGCTACAGGGGGATTTATAATGAAAAGAAAAAAGCACACTGTGCAGTCAAAATTGGACATCTATTTTAGAGATCCCACTGCTGTCTCCTCGCCCCACACCAATGCTGCCTCTTCACTCCTCAAGATGATCCAATACCTTCAACCAGCAAGTTTCCACAGCACATAAACCTGTCTGAAGAAAGCGACATTGATGACCCACCCAGCCCTGTCTCTTTCTCTGCTTCATACAATTAATATAGTCTCCATGTATACCTGTAAATAGAAAATTATGGGGGCCCCGTAAGCATTCAGCCGACTACATTAAAGGTAAGTGCACAGTAACACTGTATCCATTCTTCATTATTGATTACTTTTACTGTACTGTATTTCATTTTAGATTTTATAAAATGTATTATTTTTTGCATTTCCAACTTATGACTTGGATTTGGGTCCCTAACCCCGTCGTAAGTCGGGGAGTAGCTGTATTCTGTACAACAACTGTGACGACGTCCAGCAAGCTTCCCGGGTATCACTTTCTCAGTTCACACAAGCACTACTTTTTCTGTGTTTTCATTTGCATTGTGTGTTTATCACGTACCATTTTAGTGCTAAACGCTGTTTTCCCCATTGAGCATGTCTGGAAAAGCGTCCATCTCCCTCCACTGGGGAGCCCAAAGCTAAAAGGCACAAAAGACAAGCAATAGGCGGAAATTAAATGTGATCACCTGCCTTCAGAGAGAGGAGCGTGTGTGGGAGGTTGCACGTGAGAGCACTGTTTTGTACCTGTGTGGTATATGATGGTTCCCTAACCTGTACCATTTACATATATTCTTATGGGAAAATTATGTTTAATTTAAGGCTTTTTGAACTAATGGAGATTTTCAAGAGCATTAACCCGTGTAAAGCGAGGTGGTGTATACAGTACTGTACATAGTACTGTACTGTATTGGATGGGAAGAGTACAGGTATTAATAAGCACAGATTATTACACTTATTACAGTAATGTATCTTTATTAATTAATGAAAACAAATTATTTTCTTATCATGAATGAGGCTGGACAGTACTGTAGTTGGTGACAAACAATCAGTGAGGCGACCCTTTGGGGTGAAGGGAAGAGTGGTGTGGCCACATTCCATTTTACCTCCTCCTCTTCCTCACAGCATTCGTTATAAACTTCGATTAGTGTTGGAGATGAATTTGATACCATAATGACCCAGAATAAATTCTCTGCGACATTTCCAATATGATATCCAAAAATGACAAGCCAAATAATAAGGTAAAAATAAGTACAGGTATTTTACTGTACAGTCAACCCTCACTTCTGCGGTCCCACATTCCGCGTTTCTACGTTCTGTGCCCTGCCAGAACCCAGGATGCTCACATTCCTGGGTGGGTGTACCCCTTTACATGGTGAAGTATAATTTTTATTTAGCTCATAAAATTCATACAAATTATCCGGCAGAATATAATTTACATTGCTGGAATTTACAATTTGATGATCATTTTGAATATAAACATCATAGTTGCATTAGACATACAAATTTTAGATATAATGTTTACTCTTGAGTAAATATGTTAGCTTTTGTGCAAAATATATGATATTTATATTCAAAATATTCCT